CATCTGCTGGTTTGGGGCATTCTTGAAGAGGGTTAGGTTTGGGACATACATTGTTTCTATACTGTTAATTCAGGAACAAGGAGGAGGAGTGAAGTAACCACAACTTGGGCAATTCGTAGAATCGTAGAATGGTTTGGGCTGGAAGGGACCTTTAAGATCATGTAGTTCCAACCCCCTGCTATAGGCAGGGACACCTCCCTCTAGACCAGGTTGCTCACAGCCCCATCCAGCCTGGGCTTGAACGCTTCCAGGGAGGGGGCATTTACAATCTCACTGGGCAACCTGTTCCAGTGTCTCACCAGCCTCACAGTAAAGAATTTCTTCCTAATATCTAGTCTACTCTCTTCTGGTTTAAACCCACTTCCCCTTGTCCTGTTGCTACCTGCCCTTATAAAAAGTCCCTCCCCAGCTTTCCTGTAGGCCTCCTTCAGGTACTAGAAGGCCACTTTAAGGTTCCCCCAGAGCCTTCTCTTCTCCAGGCTGAAGAGCCCCAGCTCTCTAAGTCGTGACATACAGACTATACATTTTATGCCTGAGCATGACAATACACAATCAGTTACTAAAATGTGGGTACTCTCATCCACTTTAGTCAAATCATTCTAAATACCTAAAGCCTTGAGACTTGAGGTAAGCAGCCCAGCAAGCCAGTTCCCTGCTGTTTGGTAACAACTGCTGCACTAGTGTGGCATTGCCTTTATTCACAAAGAAGCACTCAGAATCTTTCCCTGTCCTCCATCAAACTGTTAAGAAGACTCCAAACAAGAAAAAAACCACACTAAGTGCACACGGTGAGACCTATGTGATGTTAGACAACTGCATGTGGATGTGTGCTGCTTCCAGCTTGGTGCTTTCTGCCTGAGGAAAGAGGACCAGCTTATTCAGGAGCTGCTTCTCGGTTCTTGGCAGAACCAAACATATTTTGTACCCACATATTTTGTTCCCAGACCCTTTGGCTGCAAGCAGCAAGCCCCAGTCCCTTGCAGAGCACTAGGTACCAAAAGGCTATTTTATTCCCTCAGCCTGCTGTCAAAAAGTCATGCAGACCACAGTACTTAGTGGAATAAACAGTTCTGTGAGTTTTCATAGACTCACAGACCAGAAGGATTCTATCCTTAGAGTTGGAAGAGAGCTCTGAAGACCATCAAATCTATCTCCCCTGCAATGAACAGGAACACTACAGCTAGATCAGGTTGCCCAGGGCCTTATCCAGCTCCACCCTAAAGGTCTCCAGGGATGGGGCATCAACCGCATCACTGGGCAGCCTGTTCCAGTGCCTCATCAGCCCCACTGTAAAAGATGTTTTCCTTATATCTAACCTAAATCTACCCTCCCTGAGCTTGAAGCCATTTCCCCTTCTTGTAAAGGTATTTGTTTTAAGGTATTTTGTGTTAGTTTTGAAATCTACTCAAATTTCCTTTCCAACAAATACATTGCAGAAGAGTCTGTTTTACTCTCGTTTAAGATCCTTATTGTTTACACCTGCAGAGGTTGGTGGGCAAGATTTGCTGATGATAAAACTTTCAGATGAATGAAGTGAGAGCCAGAAGCCTACAGCAATGCCATGCATTGATTGCCGTTTATAAGCTGTGTGAATCCACAAATTGAGCATGATGAAGTCAAATAGCATATGGATTTGTTTTTCACCTCTATCTCTGCTTGCTTGCTGCATAGGAAATAATGGATAATGTAGGATAACTTTGACAAGGCTCTTGAATTTAGAAGATAATGCAACAGCAGAAAAGACTGAAAGGAGTGACTCTGCACTGCAGAGGACTTGAAGGGTTTTTCTTTTTTCCTCTGTCTTTTTTTTTTATAGGATATAAAAGCCAAAAGGGACCTTCTTGGCTAGAGAAAAGCTGTCCTTCTCAGTCCCTCTTCTCCCACATATCTTCTTCTATTCTCCACAGAACTCTGTTTTTGCACTTCTAAACAGATTTGATGAGAAATTAAAACAAAACTGAAGAACAATTAAGCCACAGCATCCAATAAATCAAACAGAAAGCCAACAACATGGTTTGTTCACTCCTTGTCTGGCAATTCATTTGGAAATTGAATGAAAGAATGGGTGCCTGCCTCTGGAGGCAGCTGAGCTCTTACAGCCTTCACTATCCCCACACATTCACATTTACCTTTGTTCTTACAGTTACATAATCTTCCTGCTGGCACAGTTTATTGAAGCAATTAAGTTCCAAATCACAAACCTGGATTAAGGAAAACAATCTCATCCTTTTAATTAAATAATCACATCTGTAATTTTTTCCCTTGTCTTTTTTGTATCTGAGTTTCTAGGATACACCTCAGTCATTTGTGATGCTTATCTATGTAGCCATAGGCAGGCTTAGGAACTTTATTTATTTGATGCAAACTCAGAGTCTCATGAAATTCCCTGACCTGAGGATTGTGGACCTTAATTAAAAGCCCAGTTGTTGAGATGCTACATCCTGTGCCTGACATCATCAAAACAACTTGCAAAAAAGGAAAAAGAAAAAAGAAAAAAAGAAAAAAAGAAAAAAAAAACCCAACAACTGCAGTGGTTTATCTCACCTGTAGGATCCAGAGAGAACGTATCTCCAGTCAGAGATAAGAAATTTTTCTTGTATTTGTCCTGAAAATTTCCTGCCTGATTTGGCACAGTATACCTCTCCAGTAACACTGCGGACTGAGATATTCTAGTAAAGAAAAAAGAATTATTTGAATAGAATGAATTACATGTTTATTTGTTCGTTTGTTTGTTTGAACTAAAATCCAGGAGGAAAAGGCCTCTTTTCCCTCTTGCCTTCAACACTTCACTTCCCCCATTCCTGTTACGTTTTCATCATGGACTCCATTGTTATATTTAAAGGCTTGGGCATGATGGAAGCCCAGCCAAGTTTTCAGGGCTAATTTTTCAATGGGCAAATAAATATACATGAAAATTTGCACAGAGGAGCTGCAACCTATGACAATACAGCTGCTCCCCATAGTCAAAAGAGTACTAGAGATGTGTCTGTAGTCAAGAACAGTCTCTCTGCTGACATCTCAGCTTTAGATTTGATCCCTCTTGTTTTACACTGATATATCAATGGCATAATACAGTAGGGCAAAACCTTTCCTCTTCTAATCAGTACAGGCAACTGAGTGGCTGGTGATGCCCAGACAAACCATCAATGTCCTATCAAAGGTAAGTATGTGTGAATGGAGCTGAAGGTGTGTTTGGCCCATGGTATCAATTTACAGAATCATTTCAATGGTTGAAAAGACCACTAAGAGCTCCTAGTCCAACCATCAGGTCACCCCCACCATGCCCACTAACCATGTCCCTCAGTGCCACATCTCCATGGTTCTTGAACGCCTGGTTCAGTGGTTAATTTTAAGGTCAATTTCCTCCAGTAGGGATGAAGTTGGACTAAGCTAGCAGACAGCTAAATTTGAGGCATTACCCTTAAAGCAAAGCCTTAACAACATAATTTTATTACATTCATGCAAATACCCATGGAATTCAACTAAAACACTGAGGCTGAGGATCAAGAGCAGCAGTCAAGTGAGCCAGGCAATGCCAGCAGAACTCGGCCCTCACAGCCCAACTGAGAGCACCCAGTTCAGTCTTTCTGGCCACCTAGGATTTTCATAAGCAGGATTATGTGTGCAGTTGGGGCTTCCCACTACCTATGGCTACCAGACCATCTCTCTTAGGGTCTAATGGACATCTAACAGACATCCAGTCTAATGGACATCTAATGGATCTAATAGCTTCCTCAAAAAATGCATGGAAAAGTGTAGGCATTTTTAGAGAAAAATTAGATTACAGTACCTCTGGAAATCTCCTCTGCTTTAATTATATGTTAGGGATGTTAGGAATGACCCTAGCTTAACTGTGCTTCTAACCCAAAGCCTGAAGAATCTCAGCCACAGTACCTTGAAGAGATCCTCAGCAATCTGCAGCTTGTCGCACATCTCCGAGAAGAGATTTATATTGCCATGGTCCAGCAGCAGGTAGACAAATACCATGCGCTTGTTGGCTGCCTCCAGGAGGTCACAAAGGATCTCAGTGTCTGTGAATACATCCATCACAATAGCCAGCACCTAGGGGAAAAAGCAGAAGCATTAGTTGATGTAAATCACAGCTGCCTGAAATGCAGTGGGTATTTTATAGAATCACAGAATCACAGAATGGCCTGGGTTGAAAAGGACCACAATGATCACCTGGTTTCAACCCCCCTGCTATGTGCAGGGTTGCCAACTACCAGACCAGGCTGCCCAGAGCCACATCCTTGAATGCCTCCAGGGAGGGGGCATCCACAACCTCCTTGGGCAACCTGTTCCAGTGCATTACCACCCTCTGTGTGAAAAAATTCCTCCTAATACCCATCCCAAACTAAACCCTGTCTCAGTTTAAGACCATTCCTTCTTGTCCTATCACATTCACTCTCATAAACAGCCATTCCCCCTCCTGTTTATATGCTCCCTTCAAATATTAGAAGACCACAGTGAGGTCTCCCCAGAGCCTTCTTCTTTTTTTTTTTACTCCAAGAAATGAAAAATTTGAAACATATGTGTGGATATTTATTCTGTTTCTACCATGCATCACTGAATGAATGAGACACATTGCTTCAGTGTTTTATTGTTCATATAAATCCAACATAACATGCAATGTACGCACTTCAGTTAAGTTCTTTTCATCACCAAACATAATGTGAACCAGGAAATTGTAGGTGAGATTTCAGCACTAGGAAAGATATTAAAACACTAATCAAAGAATAATAAGGATGTAGCTAAAATAAGAGACCACAGCTCTTGCCAAGTGTCTTTCGTAAGTCACATGCATTTAGCAAGTACTGAATGACGCTTTCCCTGTTACAACTTAGGTCTGGAGCAGTCCTGTTTTTAAATCTGCTCCCTGCAGTTGGTAGTGGGCTGACAGACTGCAACAGCTTCATGTTTATTTCTTTTTATATTCAAGTTTCACAATAATTTATGAGCTAATTGTTTCAGTTTAAACGTACATCCACATTTCCAAAGTCACAAACAGCAGGAGCATGTGTAAAAGCCTTGGAGCAGCATGGACTGCCCATTAAAGACCCTCCAGCTGCTTAAATTCACAGCCTCCAGGCGGCGTGTGGTTGAAGGAACCGTAAATGTGCTGTAAAACCAAGCTCATGCCACAGCCACTAGGCTCAGTGCTGAGGTCTCACCATCCTCCCTGCTGTTGTCCACAGAAAGATGTTTCTGCCAGGGCGGCTCAGTGCAGCTGTACCCACCTTACCTCCAGAAGGTAACAGCTGGAGAGGGAACCCCTCATAGTTGCCCTCACAGGGTTCAATATAATACAGTCAATGAAAACAATTTTTACATTATTTCTGCAGATCTGCCCCACTAATTTCTTTCAACTTTGACTCAATCTTGCAGAAAGCTTATTCCCTTTCCACCCCCATATATAAATCCCACAAGACCAATGAAGTCACATTATTTGGGTAGCAGTGAGGATCCCACAGCTTCATTCTGCTGCCAGAGCGCAGTGCTTCAGAAAGGACCCTGCCAGTGCCAGGTAATGGCCCAGTGCTGTCCAACACCTTATGTTCACACTTTGTTAGCACACTTTGGACTGCACTTGCCTTTATACACAGCACAGAACTGCTGCCTCACACTCAGCCTCACTGTAGCTCCAGACCACTCTCACATGCTGCTTCTTCACCGGTTGTTCTCAATTTATGTTACTGCACTTGGCTCTTCTCTCTTCCTGGCAATACTCCTCATTTCTTTTGCCTGAATTTCACTTCACAGTTTGTGCCTCACAAGGATATTAGGGTTATAGAGTCATACGATCATTAAGGTTGGAAAAGACGTCAAAGATAAACTAGTCCAACTGTTCATAATCCAACTGATTATAGCACTCTATTAGGATTATGGTACTCTCTGCTCTCCAGCCCTCCACAGTTTGATGTCATCCACAAATATATTCCTTATTCTATTTATGCTCTTAATGGATACCTTAAGTACTATCGTATCCAGCATGTCCCTTATCACACACTAACAATTCCCATCACTGAAAAAGTGTACTCAAGCAGCAGTTGCCAAATGTATACTGTCAGCAGCCCATTTGAACCATGGATGTATACTGCATTTCCCATTTTTTCCCCTTGAATTTTTCTCTTGTTGAGATAAGACATTTTTCTTTGTTAGTACCTTCAGCATTACTAGTGCCAGCTCCAATGGCTCTGACTCTAGAGGGCTCCACAGCTGTTCTGGAGAACAGGACCCACAAACCTCCCTTTCCACCTGGGTTTGTATTGTCTCGCCTATCTCCAGCCAGCAGAAATTTGAGACTGAAGTTTTTGGAAAAGAATAATGTTCTGTTTACCTAAAAACCATAGGTGTGTGATCACAATCCCTAAAAACACAGTTTTCAAGAAATAAGCAAAGAGCAGCCTGGGAAAGCAGCTGTGTTCCCAGTTTTTGGGCAGGGCCTCCAGCTCCTCACCTAAGGCTGAGGATGTGGCCAGTACTTTGCCATACAGAAAGAAATGCAGAAAAATAATTCCCTGCATCCAATGTGGCCCAGTGCTCTGATCCTTACAGCCCCCCCTTGGGGATTTCATTGCTGCTGCTGAAGGCTTAGGAGGTTCCACGTTTCCCTTCTAATACAGCAGTCACAAAGAGTTTGTTTCTGACCATTCATCTGTGAGGCTGCCAATGGAGCTTCAGGTTTACACAGACAAAATCTCTTAACAGTGATAAGGAGAGATCTGAAGTGCCAAAAATTTTCCCCTGAAAACTGAGCTGAGCTATCACAATACCACCAGAACACATCACCAAAGGTTTTTGCCCCCTTCAGCTGTTTGTCCTCAGATTTTCCACTTGTGCATACCTGACCTGTGACAGGCACTCCACGTCCCCATAACTTGTCTGTATTAGACTTTCCCTGCACCTCTCCCACACTCTGAGTGAGGCTCTGAGGCTCTGTATGGAGCCTGTGTGACATTTTAGTGGCACTGATAAAGTACTGGGGATGGGATGCCTTCTGAATGGGTCCATTCCCTGGGGGATATCTCCTGGCATACACACGCCCCCTTTTCAAGGAGCTCTGTCCACCCACACCTCCCACCAATCTCTTACAACGACCACTGTTTATTCAGAGCTTGCTTCAGCTTAATTTTCATTCATGGCAGGACAGCGCCGTGCAGGGCTCCTGCAGGCCAGTCCTCCATCATGACCACAGCCAGGCGGACGCACTGAGGCAGTAACAGCGATGCACTCGTTCAATAGTGGGCTCTTTCTAGAGCAAAGCTACACAGTAATGCACGAGGCTGGCTCTAAACACACACCGCCTTTACCCAGTCTTTCTAAGGGCAGGAATACGAGTACATGCAGAGGAACACGAGCTTTCTCTCCATACCTGCGTGGTCTTGTTGATGTACCGGCGTATGATGTCTCTGATGTTGCTGTTCTTCTCTGTCTGGAAGTACACGGTGGCCGTGGACTTTTCCTTTAAGTAGGGCTTCTCCGCTGTAATCCATGTGTGCAGGAGAGCGGGCTCACTGCTGTCAGAAATGGTGGGGAAGTACGTCCCCGAAGGCAGGGAGCCGCCATCGTTCTGCCTTTGCGCGGCTGCCCCATCCGTGGGGGATTCCTGCGCATAATAGGACTCGCGGGCGTTCTCCTTGATGTACCGAGCTTCCACCGAGGAGAGGAAATCCACCTCTCCCTCTTTGCTTAAAGTCTGGAGATACGAGTCTGTCCCACCATCCAGGAAAGCGTCCGTGGCCAATCTGATGCTTTCATTGTGGCTGAAATCTGCTTTTGTCGACTTCAGGGACTGGTTCTTGATGTCCTCCAGCCGCTTTTTTATCTTGCCCATGTGTCTGGGGTGGCTCATGGCTCTGTGTCTCAGCAGCCGATCTGCAGAGTAGGCACCATGCATATGCGTGGTGCAGGCGACGCAATCGCCCGTCGTGTTGGGAGTCTGCATCCTGGCGGAAAATCACCTTGACTGAACGAATTAACTCTGAATAAAAATAAAGAGATCTTATTACCTCTGGCAAATTCACACTCCCTGATTCTGTCGGTACAATTATCTTCAAAAAATAACCCAAGCTTACTACTCAGGTGGTGGTGTACTCCAGCAACAATCTGTTTCCAGATGGGACACAAGCACAAAGCTGATTAGATTGCTTATCTGCGAGGCACCCACCTCACCCCAAGGGAATCCGAAGGACTCGCGTCCAATTACCAGGGCTGTTTGATTTGGCTGTATTTCCCTACTCGGAGCATCCTGTGAAATGCGAGCAAGGAAAGTATTCAAGCAAAAGCAGGTAGGCTCCCAAGTATCGTTGCACAATCTTCAAAACAGCTTGAGGCTTCTCTGTCCTCCCATAGCATTTGCTATGGAGCAAAAACTTTAACTGGGACAAAGACATCAGCTGCGTCCATAGCTTCAGAACAGCAGAAGGGGTTACGGACTCCCGTCTGTACCTACATGCTGTCAGGCAGGCTTAAAAATAAACCTGAAATTCGTCACTGTGCCCCGTTCGCAGTATGTTGCTATTACCATGGACGATTCACTCATTTATTTCTTTAAAGCTTTGTGACTATGCCGTCCTATTAAAAGAAAAACACCCCTTCCCAAACATCCTGAGCATTATGTGGAGGGAGGGCTGTGAGCTGGCCTCAAAGCATCAGAAATACAAACACTCATCATTTGATTGTGCACATTTAGCACTGTTTGTTTGGTTTCCTATTTTTTTTTTTTTTTTAAAGGCTGCAGCTCTGGAGTCACGTTGTCACCGTGGCAGCCCGGCTGCTGTCATTAGCAGGACAGGGGTTCGCAGTGGGGTGAGAGGCAGCGCCTCTGGGAGCCAGGCGGACTGGTATGACTGCGCGGGGCGAGGCGGGGCAGGGTGTGCAGGCACCGTGCCCCAGGTGTTCCATAAATACTTGCGTGCATGCTTTTACGCAGAGGCACGTGTGACACACTTTTATCACACAGGTTGGGTTCGCCATCGCTCTGCTCCATGCTGCTTCAAGGTGCTGTGGCACTGGAGGGGGCCACAGGCAGAGCAGGGTGGAGCAGACACTGCCTGGCTTCATACAGGGGAAGGACTGCTCAGAGCACCTCTGAGCTGAAAAGAGTGCTGTCGCTCTTACCAGCACGCTCTGGAGCACAGGTGTCCTCAGGGCTTGTCAGAGGCCTGTTTTTCCAGGGTAGCTTCCCAGATTCTGTGTCTGTGTCCCCACAGTCTATTTTCAGATGCCTTATGGAAAAAAAAAAAAAAAAGAAAATAATTATATGCCAGCACGACACAAACATCCATATAAAAACAGAGAGGGGCGTGAAGTGGTTCCGATTTCACACGTAGGTCTCTGGGGGAGGGAACACCCACCTCGGGTCGGAGAGGTGGTGTCCGGGCAGCGCAGCTTGCGATGTGACTTTAGGAACTGTCCCCTGCCCTCCCCCCACCCCGACATCCGCCCACAGCTGTCAGACGCAGCAAAAAGTCATTAATTATCTAGTGACCTGCTCTGCGCAATTATGTTGAAAAGGATGCCGCCTAATTAATGTGACGTGAGAGATCGCGCCCTGTCAACACCAATCAGGTCCTCCCCGGGCCCTGCAGGGACATCACTGGCCCTGCCTACCGTCCAGCCCCGCCTGTGCCAGCACTGCCACCTCATATTGCCACAACCAATATGGGGTCCAATATGGTCACCAAAGGGTCCCTCATGGCCATCCAGATGTCCTGAGGTCCTTGCATGGCCACCTCAAGGCCCACACCGTCACCACATGGGGTCCTTCCTGGTCACTTTGGAGACCACACAGCCAACCCACAGTTGTCCACAGTGTCCCCACAGTTCCCTGGGGAAGACCCCAGTGTCAGGCTGGGGCCCCGTAAGGTCACCTCACAGCCACCTTGAGTCACACTAAGGTCACACTGACGATATGCATGGCCACCACAGGCTCCCACGCTGTCACCTCGGTGCCCCACAGGGTCACCACGAAGCACCATGCTGTCTCCACAGCCCCACACAGTCACGGTGGGGCCCTGTATGGTCACCACGGGGTCCCACACAGCCACTGTGAGGCCCCACACAGTGGCCATATGGCACTGCGGCACAGAGCCCGTCCCAGCAGCCGCGGGGAGGGCCGAGCTGTTTCTCCCGCCCTCTTTTTCCTGTATTGCGGGCAGAAGTGGCCATCGTGCCCTTGGCGACCCGGGAAAGGATGCAAGAACACTGAGGTTCTCTGCAGCACCGCAGGGCCAGGTCAGGTTCGAGAGTCAGCAGGGGAGAAAAGCTTTCAGCCGCCTCGTTAGCGCAGTAGGTAGCGCGTCAGTCTCATAATCTGAAGGTCGTGAGTTCGATCCTCACACGGGGCAAAGGCGGGAAATGTTTTTCTTCGTTTTTGGTCGCTGTCCCTGTTCTGACCGCGCAGTTGCCCGCGGCCAGGCGTGCCAGGGTCGCGTCATGGCTTATAAGCGTACTTTGGCTGGTGTTATTTTTTCAGAATCTACGCTTATCTCAGCATTTGGGAGCAGAGAAAGTAGAGGTCGGCACTGGGAACTCAGAGGAATTTCCTGCAGCAGCCGCTCTGTGCGGTCTGACCAGAGGAACAGCAGGCACCGCCAGCTGCACCCAGCTATGGCTGGGCTCGGCTTCCCCCTGCAAACCTTCTGTCTCCTGCACAGTGCTAACGTCTTAACAAACCATAAGTGTACTGTACACATATGGCCCAAGCTGCTAGCCAAAAAAATTATTATTTTTTTTTAAACATAGAAATAATCACGTGCAAATCCCAAGATTTCTTAAGTGTGGAGGCCAACGTGATGAACAGCTGCCCCTGTGCACTTAGGTCTTTCTGTGATGTGATGGCGAAGGGGCTGCTGCTCTCTGCCTCGCGTGCTGTCCAGGCCTGCAGCATCCATGCTCATCCTTTTCATTCAGCTTTACCAGTGCGTGTATTACTCATTACAGAATGACAGAATATCCTGAGTTGAAAGGGACCCGTAAGGATCACTGAGTCCAACTCCTGGTTGCTAATATATATATATATATAAATACATCTCCTGCAGCTCAGGTTCTACAGCCTCCCTGTACCTTCCTTTCAGCATCTGACTCTGATGGAGGTTTGCTTCTTCACACAGAATGGCCAGAGCTGGAAGGGACCTCAAGAATCATGAATCTCCCCCCCTTCCCCATGCATGGCCACCAACCTCCACATTCAATACTAGACCAGGCTGCCCAGGGCCCCATTCAACCCGGCCTTGAACACCTCCAGGGATGGGGCATCCACAACCTCTCTGGGCAGCCCATTCCAGCAAGTTCCTGTTCTTCAAGTCGGGGCTTTGACTGGAACAAATAAAGCATACAAATACTCTATGTATATGCTATAACTTAGTGGTAAAAAGTCAGTTTATTTTAGAAGTAAAAATAATATTACAGTTATGTAGAAAACAATGAGGTTACAAACGCTGCACATTTTTCTAGCTAGAATTTTATTTTTATATAAAAATATTTCCAAAAGCCTTTATAATAACCAATCTCTGATCGGTCCTTAATCACATCACATACACTCGGGGTTTGACTGATAATCTGAAAGTACAGCTGAGGTCCAGAGCAAACCATCTCAGGTTGTCCACCGTGTGGGCGAGACGTGAGCTGGAGGACGCCTGGTTTGGGCCCGTGCTGTGAGCTTCTGCCTGAGCTGCCTGACTTCTGCCATCAGCTCCTGCTCCTGGCGTGCCAGCTCTTGTCTTCTGTCTAAAGACGCTTAAATGGAAGAAACTCAGGCTTAGTATTGCAGCTGTTTTCCACAAATACCACAAATGCTTATTGGGAAAAATCCTCTGGACAGATCTGCTCTATGTTATTACAATCCCTAAGCTCCTTCACAGTGGTACCATGGCGGTGTTATATTTTGTTACAGAAAGGTCGGATGTTGCTGGGGTTCCCTGCCAGCTCCAAAGGCATGTTTCCCAGTGCATGCAGAGTGATATAGGTGACATGCAAGGGATTTTAAAATGTGCCTTCAATGGCTAGGACAGCCTGGAGTAGATTACTGAAGACTACTTCTTAACTGTAACTCTCTGCAGGATTTTCATGAAAGATGGTTCTACATATGCTCAACATCCCCAAATCATACATAATTATGAAGCCTGAGCAAATACAGGTAAAATGATCAGGTCAGAATGGGACTAAACTAGGTTGAGGCTTAAAATGACTGGTCTCATAATGCAACACACTTCGGGCATTTCCTACCTGAGCTATTCCTGGTAGTGATTCATTTTTTATGTTTTTCAGGTGTGAAATATAAGACAACAATAAACGGGTTTACTATCCACTAAACACAATGAAAAATGACTCAATCACCCAGCAAGGTGTTCCAGTAATGCTCTTCAAGTTAAATGTGAGAAAAAAGGAGGGCCCTAACTTAGAATCTTACTGTATGATGATGACGGTGATGCAGATAAATCATTCAGGCAGATGTTTCCAGACTTTGGCACCTGCTGGAATTCTACCCCTCTCTCTGCACGTCTGGCCTTTAAATCACGCAGTCTCTCTGTTGGAAATGCAGAGAAAGCATTGTTGTGTATGTTTAAATTTCTAGTGATTTTTTCTCACTTGAGGCAAAACAGTTTTTCTTCGGGAGCAAAACTGGAACAATTACTCCAGCTAATGGCAAGTAAAATTTGTTCAGAATTTAAAGACATTTTTTGGTCTATGGAGCAAAGCCATGCGTCACTGCTTTTCATTTTAACAAATTACAGTTCCATATGTGGTGTTTCTTGCCATGTAATTAATCTTCTGACAAATGGGCCACTGAATTCATGCAGAATATGGCTACTTGTATTTGCTGTTTTAGGAGACAATCATTTTAATAACTTGCAGTTGCTAATTACTCTGTATTAAAACCATCAGACAAATTAGGGCAAAGTCTGAAAAAGCTTGCTGAAAGCAACACCAATCAACTAATCTTAATACCAGTCACTAATCTTCTGCTTGTCTTGAGGAGACGGGGCAAAACTACACAAATGCAGTATTTCAGAAGGATAACAGTCATACAATTGTTTGAGTTGGAAAGGGCC